TCTGTTATATACTGTATCCCTCCATAACGTAGTTCTGTTATATACTGTATCCCTCCATAACGTAGTTCTGTTATATACTGTATCCCCCATAACGTAGTTCTGTTATATAGTGTATCCCCATAACGTAGTTCTGTTATATACTGTATCCCCCATAACGTAGTTCTGTTATATACTGTATCCCCCATAACGTAGTTCTGTTATATACTGTATCCCCCATAACGTAGTTCTTTATATCTGTATCCCTCCATAACGTAGTTCGTTATATACTGAAATCCCTCCATAACGTAGTTCTGTTATATACTGTATCCCCCAAAACGGTTCTGTTATATACTGTATCCCCCATAACGAAAGTTCTGTTATATACTGTATCCCCCATAACGTAGTTCTGTTATATACTGTATCCCCCATAACGTAGTTCTGTTATATACTGTATCCCCCCATAACGTAGTTCTGTTATATACTGTATCCCTCCATAACGTAGTTCTGTTATATACTGTATCCCCCCATAACGTAGTTCTGTTATATACTGTATCCCTCCATAACGTAGTTCTGTTATATACTGTATCCCTCCATAACGTAGTTCTGTTATAAAAATGTATCCCCCATAACGTAGTTCTGTTAATACTGTAATCCCCCATAACGTAGTTCTGTTATATACTGTATCTCGCCATAACGTAGTACTGTTATATACTGTATCCCCCATAACGTAGTTCTGTTATATACTGTATATCTCCATAACGTAGTTCTGTTATATACTGTATCCCACATAACGTAGTTCTGTTATATACTGTATCCCACATAACGTAGTTCTGTTATATACTGTATCCCTCCATAACGTAGTTCTGTTATATACTGTATCCCCCATAACGTAGTTCTGTTATATACTGTATCCCTCCATAACGTAGTACTGTTATATACTGTGATCCCTCCATAACGTAGTTCTGTTATATACTGTATCCCTCCATTAACGGTACACTGTTTATATACTGTATCCCTCCATAAACGTAGTACTTTTAAAATATACTGTATCCCTCCATAACGTAGTTCTGTTATATACTGTATCCCTCCATAACGTAGTTCTGTTATATACTGTATCCCTCCATAACGTAGTACTGTTATATACTGTATCCCTCCATAACGTAGTTCTGTTATATACTGTATCCCTCCATAACGTAGTACTGTTATATACTGTATCCCTCCATAACGTAGTTGTGTTATATACTGTATCCCTCCATAACGTAGTTCTGTTATATACTGTATCCCTCCTAACGTAGTACGGGTTAAAACTGTATCCTCCATAACGTAGTTCTGTTATATACTGTATCCCCCCATAACGTAGTTCTGTTATATACTGTATCCCTCCATAACGTAGTTCTGTTATATACTGTATCCCTCCATAACGTAGTTCTGTTATATACTGTATCCCTCCATAACGTAGTTCTGTTATATACTGTATCCCTCCATAACGTAGTTCTGTTATATACTGTATCCCTCCATAACGTAGTTTTTGTTTATATACTGTATCCCTCCATAACGTAGTTCTGTTATATACTGTATCCCTCCATAACGTATTCGTTATATACTGTATCCCTCCATAACGTAGTTCTGTTATATACTGTATCCCTCCATAACGTAGTTCTGTTATATACTGTATCCCTCCATAACGTAGTTCTGTTATATACTGTATCCCTCCATAACGTAGTTCTGTTATATACTGTATCCCTCCATAACGTAGTACTGTTATATACTGTATCCCTCCATAACGTAGTTCTGTTATATACGTATCCCTCCATAACGTATTCGTTTATACTGTATCCCTCCATAACGTAGTCTGTTATATACTGTAATCCCTCCATAACGTAGTTCTGTATAAATATGTATCCCTCCATAACGTAGTACGTTATATACTGTACCCCCCCATAACGTAGTTCGTTATATACTGTATCCCTCCATAACGTAGTACTGTTATATACTGTATCCCTCCATAACGTAGTTCTGTTATATACTGTATCCCTCCATAACGTAGTACTGTTATATACTGTATCCCCCCATAACGTAAGTTCTGTTATATACTGTACCCTCCATAACGTAGTTCTGTTATATACTGTATCCCCCCAATAACGTAGTCTGTTTTATACTGTTCCCTCAAACGTATATGTTATTTTACTGTATCCCTCCATAACGTAGTTCTGTTATATACTGTATCCCTCCAAACGTAGTTCTGTTATATACTGTATCCCTCATAACGTAGAAACTGTTATATACGTATCCCCCATAACGTAGTTCTGTTATATACTGTATCCCTCCATAACGTAGTTCTGTTATATACTGTATCCCTCCATAACGTAGTTCTGTTATATACTGTATCCTCCATAACGTAGTACTGTTGTCATCAAATAATATTGCAATATTTTGTGGTAACAATAATGCAGGATCTACATAACATATATGATGAGTTCAGCAATATTATGACACATTATATCAACAGTGCTGTTGTAACACTGTTTTTTACCATTATTGTAGAATTTCATGGTAATACTGTATCTAGCATTTCATTATTTTAATTACTCATTATTATTATTATTATTATTATTATTTATTATTATTATTAATTTTCTTCATGTTCTTATCCTAATAGTATTTTATCATTATTAATTCCTCTATTATTTCATAGTTTCAATGTATCATTATTATTTTAATAGTAAAACCGAATCACTTATATCTCAACGATATCGTCGTGTAACTACTGAATTGTGTATATATATATATAATATAATATAAATATATATAAATATATATAATATATATATAATATATATATATATATAATATAATATATATATTATATATATATATATATGCAGACAATCGCAGACAGGCGATTTTAAACTATGCAAGATAAGCAACAGGGGTGGAAGTACTTTCACATTTATTTCAGTGCATCATCAGGGCTATGCAATGTTGAAAGGGAGCAACTGAAGGTGTGAAGGGAAGTTTTTTCTCAAAATAGCGCAGAGTGGGCCTGTCGCCTCCTCCTGGCTCTCTTAGCGCCAGGATTTCTACCCCCCTGTGGCTTTTTTTAAACATATATTATATATATATTATAAATATTTTATATATAAATATATTTTATATATATATATATATATAAAAATTTATATATATATATATATATTATTATCGTCTGAATGGAAAAAACTAGTCAATTAGCAAAAATTTATTTAAAAAAAAGTCCTTTCTAAAATTTCTCTATGTATTTAAAGAAACTTTTTTATTTAGTTTATATAAAAAATAAGACTACCAAAAAAACCTTTGGGAAACCTCCAAACCCTTTATTAAACAAGCCAATTTTAAATTTTAGCCTAATCCAAATTAAATTATTTTATATAAGTTTACAATAATTTAATAATAAACACATTGAAATATATATTTTTCATTAGATTCAGAATGATTTTTTTCAAAATTATTGCATATACAAATTTTTCGCTTTCTATTTCGCCAAGAAGACTTTTGCTTTTTAAAGCCGACATAATTATGCTGCATACACTAACTTATTTGCATATTTCACCACCCATAAACAATAAGTCTACGTCAATATTAAGAACAAATACCTTTGTCATCAATAACTCAATTATCACAATTGTCTTTCCAGTAACTAACAATTTGCATAAATATACAAACCATTTAAATTTTTACAAAGGGTAATGGTACAAAAAACACAAGATGTCGACAGAATACACACAAATTTTACACAATATTGAGTTTACATATTCCTCGATTTGATTATTCGGTTAGAACATGAACAATAATATTATAGAATTCAAAATAATTAAATTGCACCATTTTTATAAAATTTTAAAAATGAAGGCATCTTTATAGGTGATCACGAGCAAATTCAACGCCGGGGTTGCTGCTATTAAAATTCTGTGGTTGAGACAGCAAAACCGTGTAGCAGGGAATTCAGAGCCCGAACCCCCAGGGGGTAAACGAGGCTGTCTTCCGGGAACCCGCGGGAAATCAATCCCCTGGAAAAACACATTTTTTAAAACGATGGCCCCCCATGTTTAGGGAGTAGTGTGGCGTACTAAGAAGTGAAAATACCCACATGTGAAAAATCTCCTTCTCCATGGGCTTTGTGGGTTTAAACTTTGCATTTAGTGCAGAGATAAGACGTTAAAACGCAAAACTTGCGCTTTTTCATAAAAGAAAGAAGGTTTAATGGAAGGGGCCATGGTCATTATGACAAATTTGTAACGGAGTCACTGCCTTTGGGGGGAAATTCAATAAATGCTGTCTGGCGTAAATAAATGGATTACTCCATGATTTTGAGATCAAGAGTTTTAATAAAGCAATTTCCAATAATGGAAATAATCTTAGTTGTTTTGGGAACCATTTGAACTTTGTACTATTTTATTATTTTTTCTTGTTGATATTGGGGGCACGTGCACTACATGGTTTAAAATATTTTGGCCGATTTCAAAGCTTGTTCACTAAAATTTTAAAGAAAAGGTTTTAAATTTCTGTCTAGAGTTGAAATTGAAGCTTTTAATTTGCCAGATTCATTTTCGACACTGGATTGAAAAAAAAGTTAGAACTAGATATACTTAAACTGAAAATGATTCAAGACAAAGTTAATCAAGGGATACTTTTTACACTAGAAATACCACGAAAAATAACTTCTTGACTACTAATCAATAATGCATATTGGTATCAACCAACAAAACAGGTAACATCCCCCCCCTCTCCTCACATCCCCCTTCCGTATGCCACTATCTCTCCTCTGACAGGTAATAGACAGTTAAATTTTCATTTAGTGTACAGTATTTCAGTTAAATTTCTTTTAGTATTCATTTTAACAGTTTTATGTAGTAGTACATTTTTACTAAATTATTATATTGTCATTTGGGGTCTGGAACGGATTAATTCTGTTTACATTATTCTTTATGAGAAAAATTGCTTTGGTTGTCAAATTGACATCTCGAACGAATTAAATTTGACAACCGAGATTCCACTGTATTAACTGGATGTGCACTGTAAACAAACAGCGAGTAAACATATATAAGTCAATGTCTGTCTCACTTTCAGGAAAGAATCTTATGGCAGCCTTCGGTCTGAATACACTTAGATCAGGATTCAGTAGAGATTATAACCCCAACATCAACCCCAACATGAACAATGAATTCTCCACGGCAGCCTTCAGATTTGGGCACAGCTTGGTGCAAGGAACTCTCCGGTGAGTAAATATATATATATATATATATATATATATATATATATATATATATATATATATATATATATATATATATATTATATATATATATATAATATATATATATATATATTAATATATATATATATGCCGGGAACAATGGGCTAGTAGCCCCTTTTCCTGTAATAATTACTAAAAAGAATAATAAGAAGAAAATTATCAAAGTGGGAAGTCTGAATGTGCGTGGATGTTGTGCAAATGATAAGAAAGAGATGATTGTGGATGTTATGAATGAGAAGAAGCTGGATGTCCTGGCTTTAAGTGAAACAAAGCTGAAGGGGGTGGGAGAGTTTCAGTGGAGAGGAATAAATGGGATTAGGTCAGGGGTTTCAAATAGAGTTAGAGCTAAAGAAGGAACAGCAATAATGTTGAAGGATAAGTTATGGCAGGAAAAGAGGGACTATAAGTGTATGAATTCAAGGATTATGTGGAGTAAAATAAAGGTTGGATGTGAAAAGTGGGTTATAATAAGCGTGTATGCACCTGGAAAAGAGAGAAGTGTAGAGGAGAGAGAGAGAGATTTTGGGAAATGTTGAGTGAGTGCGTGGAGAGTTTTGAACCAAGTGTGAGAGTAATGGTGGTTGGGGATTTCAATGCTAAAGTGGGCAAAAATGTTGTGGAGGGAGTAGTAGGTAAATTTGGGGTGCCAGGGGTAAATGAAAACGGGGAGCCTTTAATTGAGCTATGTGTAGAACGAGGTTTGGTAATAAGTAATACATATTTTATGGAGAAGAGGATAAATAAATATACAAGGTATGATATAGCACGTAATGAAAGTAGTTAGATTATGTATTGGTGGATAAAAGGTTGATGGGTAGGCTCCAGGATGTACACGTTATAGAGGGGCAACTGATATATCGAATCATTATTTAGTTGTAGCTACAGTTAGAGTAAGAGGTAGATGGGAAAAGAGGAAAATGGCAACAAGTAAGAGGGAGGTGAAAGTGTATAAACTAAGAGAGGAGGAAGTTCGGGTGAGATATAAGCAACTATTGGAAGAAAGGTGGACTGGTACAAGTATGAGTAGTGGGGGGGTTGAAGAGGGTTGGAATAGTTATAAAAATGCAGTATTAGAATGTGAGGCAGAAGTTTGTGGTTACAGGAGGGTGGGGGCAGGAGGAAAGAGGAGTGATTGGTGGAATGATGAAGTAAAGGGTGTGATAAAAGAGAAAAGGGTAGCGTATGAGAGGTATTTACAAATCAGAAGTGTTATAAGAAGAGTAGAGTATTTGGAGAGTAAAAGAAAGGTGAAGAGAGTGGTGAGAGAGTGCAAAAGGAGAACGGATGATAGAGTGGGAGAGGTACTGTCAAGAAATTTTAATGAAAATAAGAAAAAATTTTGGAGTGAGTTAAACAAGTTAAGAAAGCCTAGGGAACAAATGGATTTGTCAATTAAAAACAGAGTAGGGGAGTTAGTAGATGGGGAGATGGAGGTTTTGGGTAGATGGCAAGAATATTTTGAGGAACTTTTAAATATCGACGATGAAAGGGAGGCGGTAATTTCATGCACTGGCCAGGGAGGTATACCATCTTTTAGGGGTGAAGAAGAACAGGATGTGAGTGTAGGGGAGGTGCGTGAGGCATTACTTAGAATGAAAGGGGATAAAGCAGCTGGAACTGACGGGATCATGACAGAAATGTTAAAAGCAGGGGGGGATGTAGTGTTGGAGTGGCTGGTATTTTTGTTTAATAAATGTATGAAAGAGGGGAAGGTACCTAGGGACTGGCAGAGAGCATCTATAGTCCCTTTATATAAAGGGAAAGGGAACAAAAGAGATTGTAAAAATTATAGAGGAATAAGTTTACTGAGTATACCAGGAAAAGTGTACGGAAGGGTTATAATTGAAAGTATTAGAGGTAAGACAATGTAGGATTGCGGATGAGCAAGGAGGTTTTAGAGTGGGTAGGGGATGTGTAGATCAAGTGTTTACATTGAGGCATATATGTGAACAGTATTAAGATAAAGGTAGGGAAGTTTTTATTGCATTTATGGATTTAATTGCAAAGGTTAGTGGACGAGTTTGGGAGTGTGTGTAAAGGTAGAAAGTTGAAAGTGAACATAGAAAAGAGTAAGGTGATGAGGGTATCAAATCATTTAGATAAAGAAAAATTGGATATCAAATTGGGGAGGAGGAGTATGGAAGAAGTGAATGTTTTCAGATATTTGCGAGTTGACGTGTCGGCGGATGGATTTATGAAGGATGAGGTTAATCATAGAATTGATGAGGGAAAAAAGGTGAGTGGTGTGTTGGGGTATATTTGGAGACAAAAAACGTTATCTATGGAGACAAAGAAGGGAATGTATGAAAGTATAGTAGTACCAACACTCTTTTATGGATATGAAGCTTGGGTGGAAAATGCAGCAGCGAGGAGGCGGTTGGAGGCAGTGGAGATGTCCTGTCTAAGGGCAATGTGTGGTGTAAATATTATGCAGAAAATTCGGAGTGTGGAAATTAGAAGGTGTGGAGTTAATAAAAGCATTAGTCAGAGGGCAGAAGAGGGGTTGTTGAGGTGGTTTGGTCATTTAGAGAGAATGGATCAAAGTAGAATGACATGTAGAGCATTTAAATCTGTAGGGGAAGGAAGGAGGGGTAGGGGTCGTCCTCGAAAAGGTTGAAAGGAAGGGATAAGGGAGGTTTTGTGGTAGAGGGGCTTGGACTTCCAGCAGGCGTGCGTGAGTGTATTCGATAGGAGTGAATGGAGACGAATGGTATTTGGGACGTGACGATCTGTTGGAGTGTGAGCAGGGTAATATTTAGTGAAGGGATTCAGGGAAACCAGTTATTTTTATATAGCCGGACTTGAGTCCTGGAAATGGGAAGTACAATGCCTGCACTTTAAAGGAGGGGTTTGGGATATTGGCAGTTTGGAGGGATATGTTGTGTATCTTTATACGTATATGCTTCTAAACTGTTGTATTCTGAGCACCTCTGCAAAAACAGTGATTATGTGTGAGTGTGGTGAATGTGTTGAATGATGATGAAAGTATTTTCTTTTTTCTTTTTTGGGATTTTTATTCTTTTTTGGGTCACCCTGCCTCGGTGGGAGAGGGCCGGGCTTGTTAATATATTAAATATATATATATATATATAATATTATATATATATTATATATATATATATTTTAAAATATATAAAAAATATATATATACAGTATTTTTTCACAAGTCGGCCGTCTCCCACCGAGGAGGGTGACCCAAAAAAGAAAGAAAATCCCCAAAAAGAAAATACTTTCATCATCATTCAACACTTTCACCACACTCACACATTATCAATGCTTTTGCAGAGGTGCTCAGAATACAACAGTTTAGAAGCTATAGTATAAAGATACACAAAAATATCCCCCCAAACTGCCAATATCCCAAACCCTCCTTTAGAGTGCAGGCATTGTACTTCCCATTTCCAGGACTCAAGTCCGACTATATGAATATATATATTAAAATATAAATATATAATTTATATATATATATATATAATATATATATATTTTATATATATAAAATATAATATGGGCGTGACGAATATGTAAAACTGGTCATTTTTGCAAGAACTCATTTAAAATTAAGTTCTTTCTAAATTTTCTCTTATATGTTTAAAGATATATTTTTCATTAATGTTAATGTAAAAATTTTTAATTTTTGCTCCAAAAAAATTTAGAAACTTACCTAACCTTGCTGTAACAAGAACAATTTATTTTAGCCTAACCCAACTAAATATATTTTAGATTTGTTTACAATAAATTTTAAAACTAAACAAACACAGTGAAACATATTTTTTTCGTTAGGTTCAGAATGATTTTGGCGAAATTATTGCATACACAAATTTTCGCTTGTCCTGTTTTGGCAGATGAGCGTTGCTATTAAGCCAAGATGGCAAGTTTTGCCTATTCGGCACGACATACATATATTATATATATATTAATATATATATATATAATATATTTATATATATATATATATAATATTTATATATATATATTTTTTATTATATATATAGAAGAATTCTGTTTCCACTTCCCAAACTAAGTAAACTTTTACCTCAAATTTTACATGAATAAATTACCTTCCCATCCACCCATCGTCTTTCTACTTCATTTAATTATTCTCAACTTTTTTCTTCATACTTACTCAATTTTTTTTCCATAAATCCACCCCCTCTCCACACGTTTATTTAAATTGGTCTCTACTTTTTTTTCATAACCTTAATTAGTTTTTTTTTTACCCCAACCCATGAAGATTTTAATTATAAAATTCGCTCTTTTACTTTCATTTTAAGTTTAATAGTAAAAATTTTTTCGCTCAAAGTAATATTTTATTTAAAATTGGTGTATGTTAGATTTTTCGTTTTAAATTTTTACTTTTTTTTTCCCGTTTAACCTTTTGGGAATTTTCCTTATTTTACTTTTTAGAGAATTGAAATTTTTTCCCGTTAATCCCTTTCCCTGTTTCCAATCCCCCCCAGGCGTTTTCCCCGGTTTAGCGGTCCCTTGATTTAAAAATTAATCCTGTTTGTCCTAAAAATTTCATGAAAAAAAACGAACAAATCACTAAAGGGTTATAAATCATTTTTGGTTTAGCTTTTTTTTTACCTTGATTATCAAAATAACTTAATGACCCTTAATTCCATTCTTGACAAAAATCCGGTTGTGACAAAATTGCCATGCAGATTTGAGCTTTAACGGAGACTTGACTAACCATCTATTCCAGGGAGGTAAAGTTAGAGTTTTTATGAAAGTTTTTATATTTCTTACAAAATTTTTTACGATATATATATATATATATGTGTGTTTTGTGTGTGTTATGGTGTGTGTGTGTATGTGTGTGTGTGTGTGTGTGTGTGTGTGTGGTGTGTGTTTATGTGTGTAGTGTGTGTGTGTGTGTGTGTACTCACCTAATTGTACTCACCTAATTGTGGTTTTCAGGGGTCGATACTCAGCTCCCGGCCCCCCCTCTTCACTGATCGCTACTGGATCCTCTCTCTCTCTGCTTCCTGAGCTTTTTCATACCTATTCTTAAAACATGTATGGTTCCTGCCTCCACTACTTCACTTGCTAGGCTATTCCACTTGCTGACAACCTATGACTGAAGAAATACTTCCTAACGTCCCTGTGACTCGGCTGAGTCTTCAGCTTCCAGTTGTGACCCCTTGTCCTGTGTCCCCTCTCTGGAACATCCTATCTCTGTCCACCTTTTCTATTCCCCGCAGTAAACTTATATGTCGTTATCATGTCTCCCCTGACCCTTCTGTCCTCCAATGTCGTCAGTCCGATTTCCCTTAACCTTTCCTCGTACGACATTCCCTTGAGCTCTGGGACTAGCCTTGTTTGCAAACCTTTGTTCTTTCTCTAACTTCTTGACGTGCTTGACCAGGTGTGGGTTCCAGACTGGTGCTGCATACTCCGTATGGGCCTAACATACACAGTGTACAAATGTCTTGAACGTTTCCTTATTAAGTATCGGAACGCTATTCTCAGGTTTGCCAGGCGCCCGTATGCTGCAGCGGTTATTTGGTTGATGGGGTCCCTCCGGTGATGTGCTCGGTTTTAATGGTCCCCCCAAAGGTCTTTCCCCCCGGGGGTGAGGTTGTAGTCTTTGTCCACCTAGCCTAAAACCTGCTGCGGTTTTTTTGGGCCCCTCCCCAATCTTCTTTGATTTTTGGCTTTTTGGTTTGGATTAAAATTGAGAAGCCAGTTGCTGGACCACATGTCCAGCCTGCCAGGTCTCTTTGCAGCCCCTTCCCTCCCCCCCGGCCAATTTAATTCTTTCATAAAACCTTCACGTCTCATCGGGCGAACAGGGACACTTCAGAGCTTTTTCCTTCCATCATTTTCGTTAAACCTATAATAAAAAATTTGCACGGTCCAAAAAAACTCCCCCCGGTGGGACCCCGCTCGTAACAGGCGCCCACTGTGAACCTCTTAACGTACCAGACTCGTTCCCTTTTTTTCCCTTGTTCAGGTATTCCCTTACCCCCATTGCAGTGCCCCCCCTTTTACGTGGCCCTGACCCTTCCAGCTTCTCCCACAAATTCTTTGGGGGAACTGTGTCAAAGGCCTTCCCGGGGAAATCTAGGAAAACGCAATCAAAAACCCACCCCCCCCCTCTCGTGTCTTATTTTTCTGTTACCTTTTCAAAAACCCCGGGGGGGTTTTGTGATACAAGATTTCCCTTTTCCATGAACCCAGCGGGTTTTCTTTTATAACCCTTTTCCCTTTTCCAGGTGTTCGACATCTCCCCCTGATAATCTTCTCCAAAATTTGAACAAAATACTGTAGGGAACAGGTCTGTAGTTTAGTCCTGTCTCTTTTTCCCTTTTCCCTTAAAATTTAGGGGGACTTTTATTGGGCGCCCTTCCATTTCTCGGGGTATTTGGCCCATTTTTTAAGGGATGTGTAAAGATTGGGGTTTTAGAGGCACGCACAGCATTTTGCCCCTTCTCTAAGGACCCATGGGGAGATTTTTTTTCCGGCCCCATCGCCTTTGAGGTGTCAAGTCACTTAAGAGTTTCTTCACCTCCCCTCAGTTGTTCGTTTTTCCCAATCCAACCCCTTTTTGGGTATATTCCCTTTTTGATTTTCCCCTTTCTGTGCTGTCTTCCCACACCCCTTTTCCTGTCTCACTGTAAAAATTTCCTTTAAATCTCCTGTTCAGCTCCTCACATACCTCCTGATCATTTCTTGTGAGTTTTCCCCCCCTTCTGTCTTTAATCTGATCACCTGGTCTTTGACTGTTGTTTCCTCCTGATTGGCTATCCAACATTTTTTGGGGGTCGTTTTGATTCTCGATGCTATGTCTTTTTTCCATATTTGCGCTGGGCCCCCCTCCTTCCCCTGGGGCGTACTCTTTTCCTGCTCTGCAAACGGGGTTTTCCCCCCTATTTTCGGTGTTTTCTCTGCCTTCTGTTTTTTTTCCCTTTCTTATTCCATTTTGTTTTGCCCCCTTTTAAAACCCGTTTCGGGTAAACCGGGGTTGTTTTTTGTCTTCCCGTTGTTACTTTTCCCCTTGGGGAAAAATAAAACCTTTTCCACGGGCCCCTTGCATTTTGTTGTTACATTTTCCATCATTTCATTTCGGGTTTTTCCCCTGCCAGTTCTCTGCCCCACTGGACTTCCCGCGGGAAGTTTTTTAAACCCTAGTAGTCCCCTCTTTTTTTGTAAGGCTTTTCCCATTCAACTCCTTTTATTCTCTCCATTTGCGGGCTCTATATGTATTAAAAAGCACAGAACCACGTGGTCGTTTGGTCCAGGGGACTCTCATACTTAAAGTCCTCAATATCTGGCTGTGGGTGAACAAAAGGGTCCCAATCTTGCGGGTTCACCCTTCCCCTCTCACTCTGGTAGTGCCCCTAACTTTTTTGCTGCAGGGGGTTTTTTCCCAGCACCACGCCCAAAACATCCTGGCTTTTCCATGTTTGGGGACCCCCATGTGGCCCCGGTTTTCCCCCCAGTCAATCCCCCTTTTGGTTAAAAACCCCCCATAACCAGAACTTTGCCTGTGGATGAGTTTCTTCTTCCCAAACCCCCCCTCAGAAAGTGGGGTCCCCCCTTTTGCCCCCGGGTTGCTCTTTTTCATATTCCTCTTTTTTGGCCTCCTGCAGTTTTTGTGGTGGTTTTTAAACATCCCCGAAAATGCCCAACTTGTGTTTCCCCCAGACTGAAGTGTACCTGCTATGAAGTCTTTTTCCCCCGTCTCATCAAATTTTCCTTCCATTTTCTCCCAATTTTTCCATCTTTTTTTTACGAGCAGAGAAAACCCCCCCCCCCCCCCCCTGCCCCTTCTATCTTTCCTCAGTTTGGTTATCCGGGGGTGGGAAGTTTTGGCACCCTCTTATTGTCTCCTGAGTTTTGTTTCTGTAACTGCTTTTAAGTCTGGGGACTTCTCATTGATTTTTTCTTGCCTTTTCCTCATTTTTAAATTCTTTAAATTTCCATCTGCATTTTGTACCAAACCTTAAAATTTCTTTTTTCTAATACTGTAACTTTTGGTGCGGGGGGGGAAAAAGGGGGATGGGTGTTGAGGGTTTTTGGTTTGGATTGTTCATTTTGCCTTGGGGGTTTTCGTGGCGGGAAAGTCCTTCTGAAGGTTTTTTGGGGGGGTGCACTTTTTCCTTTTTCCTTTTTGATCCTGGATTATTCTGCTCTGCCTTTTTTCATTTCCTCCCCATTTCTCCTTTCTTTTTTTTAACTCTCCTTTCTTTTGTTTTCCCTTTGGGGTCCCGTGTTCTGCCCTCGATAAAGGTACAAAACCCCCGGAAATTTTCCCTGCTTGCCTTTTCCAAACCGTGTTTTACCCCCTTGCGGGATCATGGCTGGGTTGTTTTTCTCCCTTTGAAAATTACTTTGAGGGGGCCCCGTTTCCCTTTTTCCCTTTGTAAAACCACCCAATTCTCCAAATTTTTGGCCACCTGGGTCATGTCCCCCTCACCTATCACCTTCAAGATATCTTCAAAAGGGTTTTTTTTTTCCTCCGCTTTCTTTAAACCCTAAGTTTTTTTCCCCCTTTTGCTTTTGTCTAGCCCATAGACAAACACGGATCTTTCCCCTTTCCCAAAACCCCCCCACTGTGACTCCCCTTTCCTTTCCCTGATGTGTTTTAGTTTCCCTTTCCCGTGGAGTGTTCCTTCCTTCAGTCCCTTCCCTAGTTATTTCCCCTATGCTTTTTGGTTTTTTCCTTCCCGCTCACCGCTCCTGGGCCCCCCCCAGGTATCTTTGGAAGGGCCCTTTCACATGTTTCCAGTTTTCCCTTTAATGTCTTCTGTCCCCAGTGTGCTCCCTTCTTTGTTTTTTGGCCCCCTGTGGGTTTTTACAGGGCCTTGGGATACAGTTTAAATTTTTCCCTTTCCTTTTCCTTTAGGGCCCTGTTGTCTTGGGGTTTGATGTTAAAAAATTGCCCATGCTCTTTTTGTGATTTCTTTTTTCTCTGTGCTGTTTCAGATGTCTCCCGCTTCCCCTTCTAATCCTTTTTCTTTTATTTCTGCGCTGTGGGGCCCGTTGCTTTTCCAAACCCTTTTGCTTTTTCTGCTAACCTCTCTTCCCTTTCCTTTCCAGCTCATTAGTCTCCCTTTCCCCCTCTTCCCCCCCTTTTTTTGAGCTCTACATCCCACCCCCCTCCCTCCCAGAAAATTTGTCCCCTTTGGAAACCCCTTTTCCCATCCGGTTTTGGGGGGGGGGGAATAGATGGTTGGGAGGGGATGGATGGTTGTGGGGAGGGGGAGGGGGTGGTTATTGGAGGGTAGAGATAGTTGGGGGAAAAGGGGGGTTTGATAGTTTGAGGAAGAGAGGGGATGGATGGTTATGGGGGGGGGGGAGGGTGGGTTTATGGGGGGAAGGATGTAGTTAGGGGGGTTTTGACGGTTTGGGGGGGGGGGGTTAGGGGTTTGGGGGGAGGGGTAGGGGGCTAAGGGGAAGTGGGGTTTGGGTGGGGGGAGAGGGGGTTAGGGGAGGGGGGGGGAGGGGTTTGTGTCAAGTGTTTTTGTCCCAAATGGGGGGGGTGTTGGTGGTGTGGTGTGTGTATGTGGGGGTGTGGGGGCGTGGGGTGTGTGGGGGTGTGTGTGTGGGGGTTTTGTGTGGTGGTGTTGGGGTGTTTGGGTGTGTTTTGTTTTGGGGGTGTGTGTTGTGGGGTGTTTTGTTTGTGTTTGTGTGGGGGGGTGTTGGGGGTGTGGTGTGTGGTGTGTGGTGTGTGGTGTGGGGTGCGTTTTGTGGGGTGTGTTGGGGGTGGTTGTGTTTGGGGTGTGTGGGGTGGTGGGGGTGTGTGTGTGTGGTGTGTGTTTTGGTGTGTGTGGGTTTTGTTAATGTGTGTGGGTTTTTGGGGGTTGGGGTTTGTGTTTTGTTAATGGGTTTTTGTAAAGTATGGGTGAGGGGGTGTGTGTTATGTATGTGTGTGGGGTGGGGTGGTGTGGTGTGGTGTGTGGTGTGTGTGTGTGTGTGTGGTGGGTTTTGGGGGGTCAAACCCCTTTTGTGTGGAGGGGTGTGTCACCCTTTTTGGGGGTGGGCTTGTGTGTGAGGGAGGGGGGGTTGGAGGGGTAGGGTTTTGTGTTGAAAAATCCGTCGGTTGTTGGCCAAATTTTGTCTCAATTTTCTTTCCCCCAATTTTCACCCCTTCCACTTATTGCCCTTTCTGGAAATTTTCGTTTTTAATTGTTCTGGTTTTTATCATTTTCCCCTTTTTTCACATTTAGAGAGGGCTTTTTTACTTCCCCAAGTATTCTTACTGGGTTAAAAATACCGGAAATAACACCCGCCTTTTGCGGTTTTGTGCATGGTGTTGTGTGTGAGTGTGGTTTTGTGTGTGTGGAGGGAGAGTCTTTTGCGGGTAATGACTGGCCGCAAAAATCTTGGGGACCTGACACAAACCCCCCCTGGGGGCCCACCCCCCAGCTCCGTCTTACAATGTTGCCCTTAAAAAACTTTTCCCCCTACCTTCTAAAACTCGCAACACTATATTCTCTTTTTATGCTATTTCTATTGTTAATTTTGGTAATAACTTGGGAGGAGTGGTTTTTAAAACCCTTTTCAAAAATATGCAAGGCCAGCCAGGGCCCTCAACATGCAAACCCAAATAGGCGGGGAAAAAACTTTCTGGGTTTACAGTTTCCAGTGCTGATGACGAAGTCGTCGTCCCTAGGCCTTAAATCCCTATTTTGGGATCCTTCATCCGGAAGATTTTAAACATATATTCTATAATTTCCCGCTTTCCCCACGGGGGATTTCACTCTTCACTGGGTGATAGTAAAAATTCACATTATATACCTTCACTTTAATTTTTATAAAGGCACACAACTTGTCGTGACGGTCACTTCTTCAGGGCCCCACCGCAAACCCAAAGTGGGAACAGCGCCCCTGACCCCCAAAGGTTTGCGCTTTGAAATATTAATGAAATTTTAGCCCTTTCCCCTTTACTTTTTTTAACTAATAACTTTAATGTGTGTGGGGTTTTGTGTGTGTGTACTCACCTATTTGTACTTACCCATTTGTGGGTTTCAGGGGGTTCCCCATTTCATAGCTTCCCCGGCCCCGGCCCCCCCCCCCCTTACTGATTGCTACAGGCCCCTCTCTCCCCCGGGTCCCTGAGCTTTATCATACCTTTGCCTTAAAAAAGTATGGTTTCCCCCCCTCCACTACGTCATTTCTAGGTATTCCCCGGCCCGATACTTAAAGACTGAAGAAAAAAACTTCCTAAAAACCCTTTGGGTTATCGAGTCCCTTAATTCCAATTGTGCCCCCTTGTGTCTGTGTTCCCCCCTCTCTGGAACATTCCCCTCTTTTTCCCCCCTCGTCTATTCCGCACCCGTTATTTTATTTTGTCCCTTTTTCATTTCTCCCCTGACCCTCCTGGCCTCCAGTGTCGTCAGGCCGATTTCCCTCAACCTTTCTTCGTAGGACAACCCCCGTAGCTCTGAAACTAGTCTTGTTGCAACCTTTGCACTTTCTCTAATTTTCTTGACGTGCTTGACTAGGTGTGAATTCCAAACTGGTGCTACATACTCCAGTATGGGCCTGACGTAAATGGTATACAGAGTCTTGAACGAATCCTTACTGAGGTATCGGAACGCTATCCGTAGGTTTGCCAGGCGCCCGTATGCTGCAGCAGTTATCTGATTGATGTGCGCCTCAGGAGATATGCTCGGTGTTATACTCACCCCCAGATCTTTTTCCTTGAGTGAGGTTTGCAGACTTTGGCCATCTAAACTATATTGTGTCTGCGGTCTTCTTTGCCCTTCCCCAATCTTCATGACTTTGCATTTGGCAGGGTTAAACTCAAGGAGCCAGTTGCTGGACCAGGCTTGTAGCCTGTCCAGGTCTCTTTGTAGTCCTGCCTGATCCTCATCCGATTTGATTCTTCTCATTAACTTCACATCGTCCGCAAACAAGGACACTTCTGAGTCTATCCCTTCCGTTATGTCATTCACATATACCAAGAACAGCACAGGTCCTAGGACTGACCCCTGTGGAACCCCGCTTGTCACAGGCGCCCACTCTGACACCTCGTCACGTACCATGACTCGTTGTTGCCTCCCTGTCAGGTATTCTCTGATCCATTGCAGTGCCTTTCCTGTTATGTGTGCCTGATCCTCTAGCTTTTGCAGTAACCTCTTGTGAGGAACTGTGTCGAAGGCCTTCATGCAGTCCAAAAAAATGCAGTCGATCCACCCCTCTCTCTCTTGTCTTACTTCTGTCACCTTGTCATAAAACTCTAGTAGGTTTGTGACACAGGATTTTCCCTCCCTGAAACCATGCTGGTTGTCAATTATACACTTGCATACTATACACGTTAGTGATACAGGTCTGTAGTTTAGTGCCTCATGTCTCTCTCCCTTTTTAAAAATTGGGACTACATTTGCCATCTTCCATACCTCGGGGAGTTGCCCAGTTTCAAATGATGTGTTGAAGATCTTTGTTAACGGTGCACACAATATCTCTGCTCCCTCTTTAAGGACCCATGGAGAGATGTCTGGTCCCACCGCCTTTGAGGTGTCAAGTTCGCATAGCAGCTTCTTCACCTCCTCCTTGGTTATATGTACCTCATCCAGCACTTGCTGGTGCACCCCCTGCTCTGATTTCCTGGAGTCCTACTGGTTTCCACTGTAAATACTTCTTTAAATCTTGTGTTGAGCTCCTGACATACCTCCCGGTCGTTTCTTGTGAATTCCCCATCACCCTTCCTCAGTCTGATTACCTGGTCCTTGACTGTTGTTTTCCTCCTGATGTGGCTGTACAACAGCTTCGGGTCAGTCTTGACTTTCGATGCTATGTCATTTTCGTATTGCCGCTGAGCCTCCCTTCTTATCTGTGCATATTCGTTTCTGGCTCTTCGGCTAATCTCTTTATTTTCCTGAGTTCTCTGTCTTCTGTATCTTTTCCATTCTCTAGTACACCTAGTTTTTGCCTCCCTACACCTTTGGGTGTGTGTGTGTGTGTGTGTGTGTGTGTGTGTGTGTGTGTGTGTGTGTGTGTGTGTGTGTGTGTGTGTGTGTGTGCACTCACCTAGTTGAGGTTGCAGGGGTCGAGTCCGAGCTCCTGTGTGTGTGTGTGTGTGTGTGTGTGTATACATAAAATATGAACTCTGGAGCCCACACTTGGTAACTTGAAATGAAACTACGTCAGTGTTTCTTACCATGCACTAATAGAGTACTTTATTCTGTTTTACAGAGTGCTACATTTTCCATTAAATAATAGGACGCATGTCAGTCATACAGGAGTCAGGTGTTGATAGTGTAGTGAGGATCATATATGGCAGTCATACAGGAGCCAGGTGTTGATAGTGTAGTGAGGATCATGTATGACAGTCATACAGGAGCCACTGCTGTTAGTGTGTACAGTAATAAGGGTTCATGGTACTTCGACTCGTTAACAGTGTATAGGTGGACAGAAATCCATACATGCGTTGCCCGTAAAACCGTTATGATTCAGGGAGTGTGGCTTATTGATCAGGATTAGTGATTAGTTAAATCAACGTGAATGTATGTTGTGCAAACACTCCTCTGTTATTCCATGAATATAAATTTCTGTATTTTCTCTAGTGCGTTTAATATTTTTCGTATTTAATGCTAGTTGATATCTGGTTAAGCAGATGACTAACTACACGTACATGAATCATACATTGTTACCTGCTCTCAGAATATAAATGTTATTTCTTGCTCGTAACAGACTCCCATGTTTAACTTTGGCTTGGACTTGATGAGTATCAACCTTCAACGTGGCCGCGACCACGGCATCGGCACCTACAACAGTTTCAGAGAGATCTGTGGTCTGCCGCGCGCCCGTACCTTCAACGACCTCACTGATCAGATGATTCCTGACGTAAGTGCTGCTTCAACGTTTTTATAACTGTATATTTCTTCTCATTGGCTCTTACGATATTTCTGTGCTTCAACTCCCAAGGTCTTGCACTAGTGTATTTCTGAACATCAGTTAATCTAATTTCTTTATTTTAACCCATTTTTTAATCATCGCTGCCGTTTTACTTTCATTAAAATTGTGTTATTTTAACTGTTGAGAGATATTCTATACATATTCCTAACATGGATATTTTTGCATGTTTACCGCTTTAGCCTAACTCATGTTACCAACCACGAAACAGAATGTTCAAAAACTGGCCAGAGTTTACAAGAGCGTTGATGATATTGACTTCTTCGTGGGTGGACTCTCCGAGAGGCCTCTCCCTGGCAGTCTCCTGGGCTGGACCTTCCTCTGTGTCGTGGGAGACCAGTTCGCCAGACTCAAGAAGGCAGATCGATACTTCTACGACCTCGCAGGACAACCAGGCTCCTTTAACGAAGGTAAAGGTAGACCGGAGTTTCCTATAAAGTATATAAACACAATGCTTTACTGTTGTCGCAGAAGTGAGCTGAATCAAAAATCCAAGATGTGAACTAATGGAGTTTAAATTTACTATATACTGATTCACCTCACTGATGCTAACTTGTGTTAAGCGCACTTTCGTTTTTATAGTAATTTTACATATTTTTCTAACTAGTAGTGACCAAATTACTCTTGTTTTACAGCTCAGCTGCAACAGATCCGTCGCTTCTCTTGGGCCAGGCTCATGTGTGACAACTCCAACATTAACGCCGTCCAGCCACTCGCTTTCAGGCAGACCAACAACAGATTGTAAGTCAGGTGTAGTTAGCGTTGTTTAAGGGGCCACCCATCATGGTCATGTCCAGATTAAAAAGGTATTGAATATGACAGGAAGATGTGCGCAATATTTTGATGGCTCATATTTTCATATATTTTGTAGCGAGGAGTATATAAATACATAAATTTTATATGCATTCTATATTAATCCTTTTATTGTACATTATATATGTGTATATTATATATCGTATATTCATGCATTACATATTGTATATTTGGACTTACTTGAATGTTTTCTTGCTTGCAGTAATCAACCAGTGCCGTGCAACAATCCCATTATCCCACGACCTGACTGGACACCTTGGCGCGGGGAGAGAGCTGCTGCCTAGTTCTGATGGGCCTTAGATCCTGGATTCTCTGATGGTTTCTTGCTACCACTTCATCTAATAGTTTTTTTTCCTCTCAAGTTTCTTTGGTCCCTTAATAGATCTTGGTTTCTCTGATAGTTCCTTGCTCCTAGCTCTCTTAATAGCTCCTAGTTCGTCTGATAGCTCTTGGTTCGTCTGATTGCTCCTGGTTCCTCTTATAGTTCATTGTTCTTAACTCATCTGATTGTCCTTGCTCCACTCATTATTCCTCTCCTAGTTCCTCCACTGTGTCTTAGCTTCTTTCTCCACTGTTTATTATTATTGCTGTCCTAGTGGCTAACAAACTGTTTATCCATAACTCATTCTTTAAGCGTTGGTACTAAATGAGTTACAGAGATCACAAAAACGTTTTTGTCAGACCCTACTGGGTAAATAATTCTATAAATATGTATATTACAAAATTGCCAATATTTCAGTATTATATAATACCTTTAATTGATGAAACTACAGATACTGTCAAAAATCTCACAGATCTTTAATAATGAAGTGATTTGTCATCTTTTCTATTTTTTTTTTTTTTTGACCTGTTTCTTAGGTTTGTAGTTTTGGACTGTCTAAGAATGTACTATAGCTGTTCTTGCTTTTGTGTTCTACCTACTGTAGTTGATCTGATTGTCTAACACTAGATTAAATGAGGTAATTAGCTATGTGACTGTAACATGAACTAGGTACTACATACAACGACTTTCAGTATATAATAAATAGAAAATACTGTATCTCTGCTGACTATTTCTTAGTCAAAATTGTCTCAGCTGGAATCTTTTTTTTTTTTCAAATATACGCCCAACAAAAAATTGTGATTTTTATCTGTGATTCCCTCACTGTCATTGACTGCGGGCGAGAGAAGACAGACAACACCTTAAATTATTAGGAATCCCCCGAAAGGGGATGTCTACTGTGGCTGTGAGTTTACTTTTTTCTTCCTTCACACTGCCAACGCAATACCTTAAGAACCTTGACTCTGCTCAGCTTCACTTTTTCTAGTTAAAGGCAGGCATAAATTGTTATTGGACATGTGGGTACTAATTTGCCAATTTCGTATTCAAAACTGTGGAGTATTTTTTCAGAAAGTCTCTTCTGAATGGCATCAAACTTCAAAGTTCGATGCACCGAATTTGAGAAAGATTCTTTACAGTTTTATGCTGAATTTATTAATAATGTAGGGCGAAATGACAGTAGTTTGTTGGATTATGTATTGGTAGATAAAAAAACTGTTGAGTAGACCTCAGGATGTACATGTTTATAGAGGGGCCACAGATATATCAGATCACTTTTTAGTTGTAGCTACACTGAGAGTAAAAGGTAGATGGGATACAAGGAGAATAGAAGCATCAGGGAAGAGAGAGGTGAAGGTTTATAAACTAAAAGAGGAGGCAGTTAGGGTAAGATATAAACAGCTGTTGGAGGATAGATGGGCTAATGAGAGCATAGGCAATGGGGTCGAAGAGGTATGGGGTAGGTTTAAAATTGTAGTGTTAGAGTGTTCAGCAGAAGTTTGTGGTTACAGGAAAGTGGGTGCGGGAGGGAAGAGGAGCGATTGGTGGAATGATGATGTGAAGAGAGTAGTAAGGGAGAAAAAGTTAGCATATGAGAAGTTTTTACAAAGTAGAAGTGATGCAAGGAGGAAAGAGTATATGGAGAAAAAGAGAGAGGTTAAGAGAGTGGTGAAGCAATGTAAAAGAGAGGGAAATGAGAGAGTGGGTGAGATGTTATCAACAAATTTTGTTGAAAATAAAAAAAAGTTTGGAGTGAGATTAACAAGTTAAGGAAGCCTAGAGAACAAATGGATTTGTCAGTTAAAAATAGAAAAGGAGAGTTATTAAATGGAGATTTAGAGGTATTGGGAAGATGGAGGGAATATTTTGAGAATTGTTAAATGATGATGAAGATAGGGAAGCTGTGATTTCGTGTATAGGGCAAGGAGGAATAACATCTTGTAGGAGTGAGGAAGAGCCAGTTGTGAGTGTGAGAGAAGTTTGTGAGGCAATAGGTAAAATGAAAGGGGGTAAGGCAGCCGGGATTGATGGGATAAAGATAGAAATGTTAAAAGCAGGTGGGGATATAGTTTTGGAGTGGTTGGTGCAATTATTTAATAAATGTATGGAAGAGGGTAAGGTACCTAGGGATTGGCAGAGAGCATGCATAGTTCCTTTGTATAAAGGCAAAGGGGACAAAAGAGAGTGCAAAAATTATAGGGGGATAAGTCTGTTGAGTATACCTGGTAAAGTGTATGGTAGAGTTATTATTGAAAGAATTAATGAGTAAGACGGAGAATAGGATAGCAGATGAACAAGGTAGGGGGTATGTGGACCAGGTGTTTACTGTAAAACATATAAGTGAACAGTATTTAGATAAGGCTAAAGAGGTTTTTGTGGCATTTATGGATTTGGAAAAGGCGTATGACAGTTGCTCTTTGCTGATGACACTGTGCTCTTGGGAGATTCTGAAGAGAAGTTGCAGAGGTTGGTGGATGAATTTGGTAGGGTGCGCAAAAGAGAAAATTAAAAGTGAATACAGGAAAGAGTAAGGTTATGAGGATAACAAAAAGATTAGGTGATGAAAGATTGGATATCAGATTGGAGGGAGAGAGTATGGAGGAGGTGAATGTATTCAGATATTTGGGAGTGGACGTGTCAGCAGATGGGTCTATGAAAGATGAGGTGAATCATAGAATTGATGAGGGGAAAAGGGTGAGCGGTACACTTAGGAGTCTGTGGAGACAAAGAACTTTGTCCTTGGAGGCAAAGAGGGGAATGTATGAGAGTATAGTTTTACCAATGCTCTTATATGGGTGTAAAGCATGGGTGATGAATGTTGCAGCGAGGAGAAGGCTGGAGGCAGTGGAGATGTCATGTCTGAGGGCAATGTGTGGTGTGAATATAATGCAGAGAATTCGTAGTTTGGAAGTTAGGAGGAGGTGCGGGATTACCAAAACTGTTGTCCAGAGGGCTGAGGAAAGGTTGTTGAGGTGGTTCGGACATGTAGAGAGAATGGAGCGAAACAGAATGACTTCAAGAGTGTATCAGTCTGTACTGGAAGGAAGGCGGGGTAGGGGTCGGCCTAGGAATGGTTGGAGGGAGGGGGTAAAGGAGGTTTTGTGTGCGAGGGGCTTGGACTTCCAGCGGGCATGCGTGAGCGTGTTTGAAAGGAGTGAATGGAGACAAATGGTTTTTAATACTTGACGTGCTGTTGGAGTGTGAGCAAAGTAACATTTATGAAGGGGTTCAGGGAAACCGGCAGGCCGGACTTGAGTCCTGGAGATGGGAAGTACAGTGCCTGCACTCTGAAGGAGGGGTGTTAATGTTGCAGTTTAAAAACTGTTGTGTAAAGCACCCTTCTGGCAAGACAGTGATGGAGTGAATGATGGTGAAAGTTTTTCTTTTTCGGGCCACCCTGCCTTGGTGGGAATCGGCCAGTGTGTTAATAAAAAAAATTATTAATATTCCAACAGGAAATAAAAATAGGATTATTGGCTTCCATGCAATAACTGGAAAATTGCTCTTCTAATATACTTCAGAGTTTTAGTACGAATATATTTTGCTCAGAGGAAGGTTCACATTTATTACAAACACAGGTGCGCAGTTAAAGATGTTGTACCTGGCAGTACCTCAAGTCTTAAATAACAAAAAAAGGCACAATACCGTGACTGGAACGATACACAAATAACCCGCACGTAGAAGAGAGGAGCTTACGACGACGTTTCGGTCCGACTTGGACCATTTACAAAGTCACACTAACCAGAAGTGGAGCAGGACGGCTATATATAGGCAGGAAGAGGTAGTGGTGGTAGTAGTAGTAGTAGTAGTAGAGTGGTAGTAGTGGTGGTAGTAGTAGTAGTAGAAGTAGTAGTAGAAGTAGTAGTAGTGGGTAGTGGTAGTGGTAGTAGTAGTAGTAGTGGTATTTAGTAGTAGTTAGTAGTAGAAGTATAGTAGTGGTAGTGTGGGGAATAAGAGGAGGAGCCAGTCAAATATAAAGAAAGGGGAGCACTGCAAGGGAGCTAGGTGCCCACAGAGGGAGAGCAAGTGCACAGAGGTGGGGGGAAGGGGAAGTGATGAAATAAATATGGAAGGAACAGAAACACGAGACAGAAGAAAGACAACCCAGAGGAGAAAAAAGGAAAGAGGAAAGTGGAAGAGAGAAGAAGAAAAAGTAAAAAATGAGGAATCAGGTTAAGTCAAGTCTTAAGATAAGTATCAACCGCAGCAATTAAAGGCAAACACAAGAGGGTAGTTTTTTATGCATATATTTCCCTCACCAAGATATTTACAGTGTTTACAGAAATGTATAACCTGCAGAATAAAATAATAAGAGCCACTTACTACAGTCAGTTTTTCACCTCAAGAATAACCAGCGAGTATAAGTGTATACGACCAGCTTTAGTGAACATCTGACACTCAGCCAGGTGGGAAGACATAACCTCAACTCGGCTGGGGACAAGCACTCACCCAGTTGGAATATTTGAGCTGGACAGTCCACCAGAGCAGTGGGGCTCCTACATACCCTGCTCCAGCCTAACTGCCAGTTGACTGGCCGAAAGAGCATGCCAGTGGGTGTGTAATGTACTCGGTGCATACCACACTCCCCACCCGATTGGGCTGTCATCTGGATGGGACAGTATGAGAGGAACCATAGTCCCATTAGTTTTCTTTATTTTGTGCCATTGACGGCATGCTGCCCGCTTGAGGGACACAATTTTCCCAGCTGATATTGTGCTCTGAGGGTGGGAGTGTGGCATCTGCCGAATAAATACTTGACACACTCTACCCTTCCATCCCAGAGCACTGGGGGGAGAGGTGGCATGTGTCAAGTATGAAAAATTGCATAACTGAAGTGGGTAGCGTGCCAACAATGGCACAAATTAAAGGAAATTAGCTGATAGGACTGCTGCTTTCTCATACCGTCCCATCCAGCTGGCAATGCTCAACAGAAATTAAAATAAAATTTACTTATAAATATCTTTAAAGCCAAGTCCCGGCCACACGGCAGGGCAATAGGCAGTAGGATTAACAAAGGTTCAAGGCACTTGTGAACAATGGCATATTCTCTCTCATCGGAAAATAACGTATTTTGGGTTGTACAGTAAGGAAGAAAAACAGCAAAATGCTATCTATTACCCTAATCCTAACCAATACTAATATAAACATATTCCCAAGCCCCATGTTGGTTTTTCCAGATGTGCTTGAGATCTTATATGGTTGAAGTCTTAAGGCCCAGCACAAAAGACGAGTATTTTTTATTTTGTATAGAGCTCAGATAAGTCAGCAGATTATGGATGCTGAATACCTCAACCACATGCAGATAGGATACCCAATACACGTCGAAGGGCTCCAGTACTAAGACCAGAGTTAGGGCCTCTTTCTTTATTGTGGAGTAGGTCCATTGGTACGATGGAAAATCCTCGGGGGGGGGGGGGGGGGGGGGGGGGGGGGGGGGGGGGGCCTAAATGCTTGAAGTAAAGCTGTGTCAGCTCCATGATCACAAGCATCCACCTGTAAAAAAATGGGCTTGAATAATGTGGTGATAATAATGTGGTGATAATACAGAAAGTAAAGATTGCACACAGCAATCTTTACTTTCTGAAAAGCTTCTTGGCACTCTGCAGACCATTTGAATTTGGCTTTATTGCTGGGAAAGGAGGTTATGGATAGTTTTGGATGGCCAAAATATTAGCTTTTTAGATGCTACCATTCCCTTTCCGACTACGTGACCTATAAAAGGTGTCTGAAAATTGGCCATAGGAGGACTTACTGAGATTCACTGTTAACTTATATTGACAAAACCTATTAAAAAAGATCGAGTCGAGAAATATACTCATCCTATATGTCAAAAATCATAACTAAATCGTGCAGGTAAGCCTCAGTAGCTACTAGTTCTTTAATAAGATGGGTCAGTTTTTGGAGTGTAGCTGGCATATTCCTTATGCCAAACAGCATCACTATATATTGATAATGGCCTCCTGGAATCACAAAGGTAGAAATTTTCTTGGCCCTGTCAGTTAAAGGAATTTTATAATAACCTCTGAAGAGTCTAATTTGAAAACAAATTTGGGTCTGATGCAATGCTTCTTGGTAAGTAAGACATGTGCAACAGTTAGGTGCCTTTATTCTGAAAAGTTTTGCCTATATGGTAGGCTTCTTCAGAAGAGGCATCACAAGCAGTAAAAACTTTCATATGATTACTTTTCTCTTTCTTACTATGCCTCTTTCCACCAAGCACTCTTCCTCCCTCTCTCAGCCACTTTCGTGTAACCACATACTTCTGCTAAACACTCTAATACTACATTCCTGCTCCAGGAGACACCAAACCACCACAGCAACTATGGCCATGTTTCCTGGGATTCTCGCCTTACCTTCAGTGCCTGGAAGGCACTGGCAGGGGCAGGCTATCTACATCAGGAACACTATCCCTCATTCGATCTCCGCTGACCCCATCAACTGTGGAGAGGGGCGTGGAGGTACAGGCCATCACCTTACACTTGCCAGATGGACCTTTCATGGTTTACAACATATACAGAAGCTATTGGTCCACCCTTGACATTTCAAAAGTGGCAGCACCCACCCACCTGAAGAGTCTTGTTGTGGGTGGGGATGTCAATGCCCACCACCCAATACTTAATTCTGTCTCCCCCACCAACGAAACTGGGAGGCACCTTGCATCT